ATGTGGTTCCAGACTGTGTCTGGATAAGTCACAAAAGTTGATAGTTTAGTACAGCTCAAAAGTTGCATTTGGTGCAACAATACCTGACAGTTGCAGATGTGTGTACTCAGCCATTCGGTTTAACACAGCCTTTCAGAAGCTGGGTTCATGGGGTGATTGATAAGTTTTGCAAATGGCTATGTGAGGCTAATTGCCTGAATATGAAATACTAAATTGATTGGCCAGGATACACTGAAATGAAATAAATGGTCCTTCAATAGCTTCAATAAATGTGTCTGAAACTGTGGTCCTGTAAAATGTAACTTTTGGTTTTGTTGAGCAAAACACAGTCCCCTCTGGATGATCTATATACGGGTACTTTGCAAGGGTCATTAGCAAAAACTACCTTTTTCTGTTCTGAAGAAATTGTTGTGTTTCCATACAAATTCCTGAATGTGATGATGAGCCTTTATGATAAAAACTTGAGCAAATCTCCATGTGATAAGGAAAGCTGCATCCCTTTAAAAGTAGACTTTAGGGGGTGCCTAAAATTTCTCTGTAATATAAAAAAATAGTGTGCCATTCACTGAAGTAGTTTTTTTTTAGATACCTACTTAAACCCATCTTTTTACTTTTTTTGCCTATAGTTCTGCTTTCTCGGGTCTGTATCCTGGAACATATTATCATATGCAATTCAAAACAACACATTCCCGAATTTGAAAACCATGGACACTGTTGTATTTACAAACACTTTGATATGCCCTCTCCATTATTAACTACACTGATCTTCATCTTCAGTGTCAGATGACAAAATGTGTAATCTGTTGGATCAAAGCTCCCCCTCCCAGTTTTCTAAGATTTTTTATCTCGAACATGCTTTCCCAGCAAAAAAAAAACAAACACCTAGTGTCTGTGGCCTTAACTTGTAGGTCAAACTTGTGAAAGTACACTGTGAAGCTTTCTTTTGTTTCATCTATGAATGCTATGTATGTAATGGCTATTGGTAAACCTTCCAGTGGCAGCTGCATGGGTATTTTGCGTTTCCTTGAAGCAACGTTCTATTCAAGCACAACATATATATGAAAAACAACAGCTGCCGTATAGTGGTGGTCTTGTTTAAGTAAACAAATGTTGCTCTATGTATACAAGATCTGCAAGATGCTATACTTTTTATGCTTATACCTGATAAAATAAACCAGGGCTTAGACATTTGCCTTCATTATTTCTCTAGTAAGGGATGCTAAAATTGTACCATACTTTGCATTCTGGTAATGAACATTCATGTCCTAAATCAGTAAAATAACAATAATGTTCAGTAGTGTTAAAGCAGTATATGTATATATGTGTATGTATATATATATATATATGTGTGTGTGTGTGTGTGTGTGTGTGTGTGTGTGTATATATATGTGTGTGTGTGTGTATATATATATATGTATATACATTACCCTAATGTCATTATATTGTATGTACTATTCTCTTTATTCTCTAAATCTCCTCTTCTCTGATCTTTTAGGTGATTAGCTTTACTTAGATACCTATTTCATGTCTTTCTAACCTTGACTCAGATCATGCAAATTTGCCCCTGACCCCTTATTTGTACTTTGAAAAAAAAAAAGAAAACAACCTGTTGACAGTTTTTTTGTTTTGTAACTAGGTCTCTGCAAGACTTTACCCTGTACAAAGCTGCCCTGATAAAATACAACTCCTCCCTCCGTGCTGCCAAACAAACTTATTTTGTCACTCTCATTAACACACTCTCATCCAGACCTCGTCAACTCTTTTCTACCTTCAAGTCTCTACTATGTCCTCCACCACCACCACCCACTAATTCACTCACTGCCCAGGACATTGCCATTCATTTCAAAAACAACAGGTTGGGGAAGGTAAAAACTGTATCCATTGTAGACCAGCTGATTATGCATAATACAAACCAATGTAGCTCTCAAGCTGAAACGTGAGCAGGACCTTCAGGAATCATGGTTAATTCAGAGGTAATCCTCTCCACAGATGGAAAGGATCAGATAATCCTTTTGGGTCTATAATGGATCCAGCAGACCGGTTTAACTGCAGGGCTTCAGTCTTTAGTGACAACCTGCAAGAAGCTTACTTGTGGCCAGCAAGTAGCCGCTCGCTCAGAAAGAAAAATCTGAGCATGCAATCTATTTTAGGCTTGTAACTGTCATTGACCTCAGATACCGTTCTCCTTTCTCAAGGTTTTTGAACCATTTACTAATAGGTTCTTATGACATTATCAAATGTACTGATGAGAGTCTACCCATGTATATGACCAGCTTTAGGCACTTCGATAACCAAGTTAGCAAACTGCAACACTGTAATCTTGTTTCCACTTAATGCTTCATTATAATGTTGAATTTTTTAAGAACTATGTATGCAGTGTTTTATCAGATCAGGATTGAAACACTGCTATCAATTATACTTTTAGGTGGAGATGAGTCCTCTGGAAAATGCTATTGAAGTCTTAGAAAACAAGAACCAACAGCTGCGAACTTTGATTAGTCAATGTCAAACGCGGCAGATGCAGAACATTAACCCACTGACAATGTGTCTGAATGGAGTTATTGATGCTGCAGTTAATGGAGGAGTTTCTAGGTATCAAGAGGTAAGTCTATGTTAAAACTGGCCTGCATTTCATGCAGGAATATCAATACAAATTGTTCATGTTTTTCATTTACAGATTTAAGAAAAGAAAACATTGTATATATGTTTATTGTAAATATATTTACTTGTATTACGTTCTAAAAATTAAGTCAAACGTGTAAAATTCACAGAGAGGCGTAATTAATATAATTCAGCAAACTCAATATAACTTAGTGCCTTCCTTTTAGAAGTAAAGGAGAATAATATTTTGCAAGGAGAAATAAACTGTAGATATCCCAAAATTAGCTTTTTACATAATGGAAAATAAATCCGTAAAAGGTAGTCTGTTTAAAGTGGTACAGTCATACGGGTTGTGAATGAGGAACCCAAAAAATTGTTAGAAACACAGTGGAATCTTTAAAACACAAAACAGAAGTTATCTATTTACATGTCTAACTTTCATCACAGATACAGGAAAAAAAGGAGTTTATTTCTCCTTTTAAAATAGTGGGTACAGCCATTCATATAATTTATGTAAATCCTTTAGTAACTGAAAAATTTGACTTTCAAAACAGTGGACCCAATCTATTGCACTATTGAAAAAACCAATAAGGCTTCAAATATGGGAAATTTGGGAATTTACCATTTTTTAATACAAGTATCCTCAAATAGCTCTCCATCTATTTGCTTACAGAAAACTACAATCATGTTTGCACCACATTATCTTCGTCAGACTGGTCATATCCCTTAGTTCTGATGTTTGCCTCTTCTGGCAAACAGAGCAAAGCTAAACCAAATTGTAGGTTTTTTGCTAGGACAAACGTTAGACTATATCAAAGAACTTTGGATATCACTAAGTGGACATCTAAGAATGTACTTAAAAGCTTGAGAGTATTTGTAGAAAATCTCTTCTAGATTCCATAAATAGTCAGCTTTCTCTGAAATGAGATCATGGAAAATATCTGTCCCCTCACAGATCCTACCTTATGAGGCTAACCCCTTCTCATTCTTGTCCCAGTGTAACCAGACAGGGACTGACTTATTCCATGATCAACAGGTTTTGAAGTCAAGTATGTAGTTATTCAATGAAGCGCCTAATTAAATACCTGCCTGTGACATCAGAATGGGGTACCACAGAAAATTCTGGTGTAAGAATCTCTAAAACCTTTAAGACATTAAAGATCATCATATCCTCATCTGCCAAAATCTGTACGTCAGCATTGGATTTACTTGACTGAGATTTTTCTTGAAGGAAAAAAGCAATACAAGTTAAGAACGGACTGGATTGAGTAAGCATTAGACAAGAATAAAAATAACATATTTTTGAAGTGTGGGGAAGCTTTAATACACTCACCTTCAATATTACAGAAGTGTCTCCACACTACAGATTGATTAATATCGACATGGAACAATTTGAAACATACCTCCTATAACATGTAAAAACACACTGGGGGGAATATATCAAAAACTGGAGCAGTTGCCCATAGTAACCATTCAGCTTCTCTTTTCAGTTCATTCAGTTAAGCTTTAAAATGAAAGCCAGAAGCTTATTGGTTGCCATGGGCAACTGCTACAGATTCTGTCTGCTCCAGTTTTGATGAGTTCCCCTCTAAGTTTGGTAGCTTGAAGACATCAGAGATTAAGTCATGGTTGGGAGACACGTACATTATCTCTATTGAAACTATAAAAACCTTATAAACATGCTGTATTTAGGTATTCTGAATAATAAAAATTACCGTTATGCAACACTGTACTTCTATGTATGCTTGAAGCAGTGTGCATTCCTTGTGTACAGTTGCTAATGTAATCTTTTCTGTAACCTGAAATCTAGAATTTCCTAAATTAATTTACTAATAAAACGGATGCTACCAGGGCTGCCATCAGAAACTTTGGAGCCCCTTACACAGCTTTAGGCCTGCCCACTGACCCTCCCACGGAGTCCACCCACTGACCCTCCCACGGAGTCCACCCACTGACCCTCCCACGGAGTCCACCCACTGACCCTCCCACCGAATCCGTCCACTGGCTGTCCCACCGGGTCCTTCAGTGCACCCACTTTTATTTTAACACTCTTACAACTTAATATATATAATTGAAAAGTGCATTCCACGTCATCAGTGCATTTAATTTGACTTTCAAAACAGTGGACCCAATCTATTGCACTATTGAAAAAACCAATAAGGCTTCAAATATGGGAAATTTGGGAATTTACCATTTTTTAATACAAGTATCCTCAAATAGCTCTCCATCTATTTGCTTACAGAAAACTACAATCATGTTTGCACCACATTATCTTCGTCAGACTGGTCATATCCCTTAGTTCTGATGTTTGCCTCTTCTGGCAAACAGAGCAAAGCTAAACCAAATTGTAGGTTTTTTGCTAGGACAAACGTTAGACTATATCAAAGAACTTTGGATATCACTAAGTGGACATCTAAGAATGTACTTAAAAGCTTGAGAGTATTTGTAGAAAATCTCTTCTAGATTCCATAAATAGTCAGCTTTCTCTGAAATGAGATCATGGAAAATATCTGTCCCCTCACAGATCCTACCTTATGAGGCTAACCCCTTCTCATTCTTGTCCCAGTGTAACCAGACAGGGACTGACTTATTCCATGATCAACAGGTTTTGAAGTCAAGTATGTAGTTATTCAATGAAGCGCCTAATTAAATACCTGCCTGTGACATCAGAATGGGGTACCACAGAAAATTCTGGTGTAAGAATCTCTAAAACCTTTAAGACATTAAAGATCATCATATCCTCATCTGCCAAAATCTGTACGTCAGCATTGGATTTACTTGACTGAGATTTTTCTTGAAGGAAAAAAGCAATACAAGTTAAGAACGGACTGGATTGAGTAAGCATTAGACAAGAATAAAAATAACATATTTTTGAAGTGTGGGGAAGCTTTAATACACTCACCTTCAATATTACAGAAGTGTCTCCACACTACAGATTGATTAATATCGACATGGAACAATTTGAAACATACCTCCTATAACATGTAAAAACACACTGGGGGGAATATATCAAAAACTGGAGCAGTTGCCCATAGTAACCATTCAGCTTCTCTTTTCAGTTCATTCAGTTAAGCTTTAAAATGAAAGCCAGAAGCTTATTGGTTGCCATGGGCAACTGCTACAGATTCTGTCTGCTCCAGTTTTGATGAGTTCCCCTCTAAGTTTGGTAGCTTGAAGACATCAGAGATTAAGTCATGGTTGGGAGACACGTACATTATCTCTATTGAAACTATAAAAACCTTATAAACATGCTGTATTTAGGTATTCTGAATAATAAAAATTACCGTTATGCAACACTGTACTTCTATGTATGCTTGAAGCAGTGTGCATTCCTTGTGTACAGTTGCTAATGTAATCTTTTCTGTAACCTGAAATCTAGAATTTCCTAAATTAATTTACTAATAAAACGGATGCTACCAGGGCTGCCATCAGAAACTTTGGAGCCCCTTACACAGCTTTAGGCCTGCCCACTGACCCTCCCACGGAGTCCACCCACTGACCCTCCCACGGAGTCCACCCACTGACCCTCCCACGGAGTCCACCCACTGACCCTCCCACCGAATCCGTCCACTGGCTGTCCCACCGGGTCCTTCAGTGCACCCACTTTTATTTTAACACTCTTACAACTTAATATATATAATTGAAAAGTGCATTCCACGTCATCAGTGCATTCAATATTTAAGAGAAAGGAAATATATTTTGGCCAAAAAATATGTTGAGCAGGACCCTACACTTATACTAACTGCACTCTCTTTTCACTGAACACTAACCACACTTTCTTTTCACTGAACACTAACCACACTCTCTTTTCACTGAACACTAACCACACTCTCTTTTCACTGAACACTAACCACACTCTTTTCACTAAACACTAACTGCACTCCCTTTTCACTAAACACTAACCACACTCCCTTTTCACTAAACACTAACCGCACTCCCTTTTCACTAAACACTAACCGCACTCCTTTTTGCTAAACACTAATCGCACTCCCTTTTTGCTAAACACTAATCACACTCTCTTTTCACTAACTCTAACCACACTCCCTTTTCATTAACACTTAATGCCCCTAAACTATCCACTAGCACATCTAAGAAAAAGAAAAGGCTGTTCAGGCTCCCAGGTGGGCTGTTTGGGCTCTCAGGTGGGCTGCGGGCACTGTGCAGGCTCTCAGGTGGGCTACAGGCACTGTACGGGCTCTCAGGTGGGCTACAGGCACTGTACGGGCTCTCATGTGGACTGCAGGCTCTGTGTGGACTGTGCGTGGGCTCTCAGGTGGACTGCATGCTCTGTGCGGGCTGTGTGCAGGCTCTCGGGTGGACTGTGGGCTGTGTGTGTGGGCTCTCAGGTGGACTGTAGGCTCTGTGCAGGCACTGTGTGTGAGCTCTCCCTCCCCACCCCCATCGTCGGGCTGCTAAAACACCTTACCACTCGAACAACTCTGCTCCACTCCCTGATCACTCTTTGGTGAAGCCTGCTACAGACCAAGCTCTGCTTCCTGAAAAAACCCTTCCTGCATATACAGGAAGGTACCAAGTTACAGGGGGAGGGGGCCAGAACTGTACCAACCTCTGAGTGCACTTATTACCAACAGCAAAAACATTGGCCGACCTAAGGAACAAAAAGCCTTGTGCAAGTTTTTATCTTGACCCCCCCCCCAGAGAACGGATCTCACTGGCCCCCCAACCCCCCGGTGGTCTCTGCACCAGAGGAGCTTACACTCCCCCCACAGTCTCACACTATTATTATAATACATTTATATAGCTCTGACGTATACTACAGTGCTGTACAGAGAACACTGATCCAGTCACATCAGTCTCTGAACCAGAGGAGCTTTACACTCTTATGCAGAATGGCACCCGCTGTAGGTGGACTACAAATCCCAGCAATACATTATACAGCAGCGCAGAACAGTATATCAATTGGACTCAGGAGTAACGCACTGGACTCAGAACTGAGTAACGCACTGGACCGAGTAACACCCTGGACCGAGTAACGCACTGGACCCTGGACCGAGTAACGCACTGGACCCTGGACCGAGTAACGCACTGAACCCTGGACCGAGTAACGCACTGGACCCTGGCCTGAGTAACGCACTTGACTCTGGACCCACCTGAGAACCTACACAGCCCACCTGAGAGTGACCCTGCAGAGCACACCATAAATCCTGCACAGCCCATCTGAGACTCTCTATGGTGGGCTCTGCTGAGTCTCAGGTGGGCTGGTCAGAGTCCCTTTCCCTGCAAATCCTCCCAACTCCTCTTACCTGCTGCTGGGGTCTGGCCTTCTCTGCAGCCGGTCCGATGCTGCTGGGGCCCATGCTCTTCTGCCGCTGGGTCGGCACTGCTGGGGCCCCTGCCACCATCGTACTGGCACTGCTGGGGCCCGGCCTCCTCCCCTGTCACCTATGCCATGCGGTCCCTGGTACGGCTGATACCCATGTATGGGGCCCTCACATGGGTATCGGCCGTACCCTCCCTGATGTCAGCCCTGGATGGTATAATGTGTTTAATAGAAATCAAGTGTGCATCTTATATTAACCCATTGCATTGAATGAATCTTAAAATGTATGATTACTACTGGTATCCTGTCTTTTTTTTTTTTATTCAGGCTTTCTTTGTGAAGGAGTACATCTTCAACCACCCCGAGGATGGAGATAAGATCTCACGCCTGAGAGAACTAATGCTTGAACAGGTAAGCATGTCTTCCCTGCTGCCGCTCCCCCTGCCACTCTACTGCAAATGTTTTGAATTTTGTTTTTTTGACGTCTGAGACTTGCTGAGTAATACAGCAGCTGCTGTGAAAAACTAAGCCTCTTAACAGTATTTGTTAGGCTGCATTCACACTAGACTCCTGCATTTGTTTTCTTAAACACATGAGAATTTATCTGGGAAGTATAAACAAACTTTTTGCTCCCCAGATGAAGCTCCTCTTCACTTAAATGTATTTGTCTTTACATGTATTTACATGCGTTCAGGCACATTCAGAATATCTAATCTGCACCTGAATGCACAGAATTCTGTTCTCTTAATACAGCTAAACTGAATGCACTCAAATGCAGGTAAACATACAGTGTGAAATATGCCATTTTAAATAATTACATGCATTTATGTGTTTAGAAATATACGTTGTTGCCTTTGTGAATAAGGACTAAAATACTGTTTAGAAACATCATGTTGTTTATATCAAGATCAAAAGGGTAACCTTTGATCTGCATATGATGTCAGTTTAAGCAACCTTACAAGTTGTGTTTTTTCACACAACCATGCTGAGCCTGTACACTGAGCTGCCTATGCATGGCTCTGTGTGTACAAACACTGACAGGCTGAGAGAAGCAATTATGGCAGAAGAGATATACAGAATGTCTTCTTTCATAAACCTCCCTGTCAGAGATTTAAAAAAATAAAATACTTTTCTTCTGCTTTAAGTTAACAGAATGCATATTGAAAGTGACACTAAACTCAGGAGTTAAATCTTAAAAATGCATTCAAGTACCTTAATTATTAATAAAAATGTATCTTATTTGTGTATCACTCAGTGTAGATCCTCAAGTCATCTCTGAATTGGTGCTGACACTGTCCTCCCTTCTGGAGGGTGGCTACTTTTGTTCCCCACAGGTCCCTGTGCAGGGGCAGACTGGGCCAGGGGGTAGGGTGGCAATTGCCCCTCGGGCCTCTCCGATGCCGTCACGAACGGCCCCTCGACCTCCGCTGCCACCTGCACCCGGCTGCATCTGATGCAGCTCTGTGATCGGCGCAGCCGCTGCTCCTTCAATGGGTTGTTCGGGAGGCCCCAGCAAGGGGCCCTCTAACATGCCTGGCATGCCTCTACCTGGTCCAGCCAGCCCAGATCGCCTCTGTATGCGGTCCGGGCTGGCTGGATCAAGCACAAGCTGCCCTCTAATCAGGCGCTGTAGAGGGCAGCCGGCTGGGGCCTTCCGAGGACCCCCTTGAGGACCAAGCGGCCGCCGATCGCAGAGCCGCATCGGATG